ACGTCAAAACTTGACATGGAACGTGTTTATACAACACGTACAATGGCGCGAGATGGCGTGGGCAAGTAAGTAAAATATATCTACAGTAAGTAGTTTCGTTAGCATTCCAGCGGACACAAAAGGTCGTGCGAGTTTGTTCAAAAAGGAAAACGTTTTGTTTTCACGATTCTTACCTGCAAGGGATTTTGTGTGGATTAATTCACGTACCTGACGAAAATGGATTTTGGATTGGTTTGTCCCGAACTATATACGCCGATTTTTAGATATTTACTAGAAATACATGAATATATTCGCCTATATTTTCCCCTCGCTTATATTTTCGAAACATTGCTTCAGCATGAAGTAATCTCAATTGCGGCAACACTGAACGCAGGCTCGCATTTCCGCGTCATGTTAAGGTACGTTTACACACAACGATTAATCAGGCCTATTCAGACACATGACACATCTATTAAACATTGACACTTTTCTCCTGTAAGCCGGACAAATTTTTATTCAGAATCAATAAGAAATTTTTCTTTCAACGCCTCATTTTACCTGAGAGGGTATTAATAAGCTGCCTCGATACAATTTACAAAAACTTCAGGTATACAACAGTTTGACTGTTCAAAAGTCCTATTTTTAGGTTTTATGAAGCAGGTAACAAGATGTTAATCCATTTTAATATTTCTTCTTCAAATTATGGCAGTTTTCGAAACACATAGTCCGTTGCTATGGCAAGATACACGCAAGAAATGCACCCTTTAATAGGTTATTGCTTTGTGCAATAGGAGAATAAGTACGGGGACCCCCAATTTTTCGTACACTATTTTAGTTAGAACATAGACTAACAATAAGCAAATATGAAGAAAATTCTGTAATGGCTTATTTGAAAAACGCCAAAATGTCGTGTTCATCGATCAAATTTTTTGGCATATGTTGCAAATTTTGTTCTATTTTTGGGAATATTAAAAGACTTTTGCCCTAAACTACAGTGTGCAAAATTTGAACATAGGTCACCGGACAAAATAATACAATTACAATTACAATTTATTAAATTCGCACGATGTACACAAATATTTTATATAACTTATATCGGAAATTAAAAATTATAATAAAGCTTTCAAAGTATTAATATAGTAGCATAATCGTACGCAGTGGTCAAAGTAGCTTTACGCTTTCGGGTCGACCACTGCCTACACAGTGAAAAAGGGAGGCCGTGGTAACCAATCAAATGGTCACCCCACCCTCCGCCTTTCACCGTGCATTTGATAGTTTATTTGAAATGAGTACATTAGTCATTACTGAGCAGATATATTGAATTGACAACAACAAATGTGTAAATACATTTACATGCATAAATTACAATTTTTGCGATAGCAATATAGTGTTTGTTACCTCCGCCAGGAGGTTATGTAATCATCTGGGTTTGTATGTGTGTGTGTGTGTGTATGTGTGTGTGTGTGTGTGTATGTGTGTGTGTGTGTGTGTGTATGTGTGTGTGTTTGTCTGTGAGCACGATAACTCAAGAAATACCAAACATATCCGTACGAAATTTTTTGAATGCATTTCCAATCGGCTAAGGAAGAACTGATTAAAATTTGGTTGAATTTGGTTAAAAATTGAACGAGAAATGAACAAAATTTTGTCTTGCTTTTCCCGGTCAATTAACAAAATATATTACTGAATGCGTAATTAGGGCGTGTATAATTTATGCACTCAGTGCTAAGACAGTAATGAGATGATAAACCTCATTAAGCTTCGGCCTTCATTATCTATTGTCTTAGTTGCATTTCACGCGACCGAAATTCAATGTCTAAAACAAGGCTTACGGAGTTACGCATTATTACGTTCAGCAAAGTGCCAGTCCATTCAAATTCTAACAACATTAGATTACTTCAATGCAGGGTGTATAAAAAGAACGCAACCTCGGAATTTCCCAAGAAATCGACATTGTTTTAAAGACAAAAGATTTTAGCTGCCTGGGAATTTAAAATAGCACAACTGTGAAAATTACTGCACGCGCGAGTGCATAAAGCAAAATTTGTGCATTTATTTAATGACACTTAAAAACTTTTTATTTTACAAGTACTGTACAGTGCAACAACAGTAATATGTTCTATTAGCAATTCGATTTCAATTCGCGGGGGCCTGAAATCTTTTATGCTTAAGAATTATAAAGTGGATTTCTTAGGAAATTCCAAGGTTGCGTTTCACTTCCGAGTAACGGGCGGAGGTATGCAGTCTCTGAGTGCCCTCTAGTTTTATATGTGAAAGTAGCTATTTTCAGTTTGAAAACATTATCAAAGCTCGGGATTCCCATTAGATTGAAATAGGGTATGGCATTCTCACGTCTGCGAGCAAAGAATATTTTCTTAATGCATTTATTTTGTAAAGTACGAATTTTAGATAAACGAGTAAAGTACGTATTTCCCCAGCTCATTACTCCATTGTTCATATATGGGTAAATAAGGGCATAGTACAGTTGTTTGAGCATTTTCAAATCCAGGTAATATCTTAATTTATTTAGTATGCCAATATTCTTAGCAATCTTACTATTAACATGTTTGATTTGTTGTTCCCATGTTATATGTTTATCAATGTACATTCCTAAACACTTAATATAATCTTTTTGTACAATATGGGATATATTTATACTACGAATATTCTTGTTATTTGAGCTAATAATCATAAAATTGGTCTTTTTCTCATTAATGGAAAGTTTATTGGCAGAACAATATTGTAAAATATGATTAAATTCTTCATTCATTGTAATTTCTATATCATTAATACAATTACTTTCATAATTTGTCTGCAAATATCCGAAAAGAAAGTTTTTCAGAGCAATTTGGCATATCGTTGATGTATAGAAGAAATAGGAGTGGACCTAAGGTTGACCCTTGGGGTATCCCGCAACCATACTTTGTAGACTTGAATCATTATCACCAATTCTCACATAATGTAGTCTATTGCTAAGATAGCTAGAAAACCATACATGGGGGATTCCACGTGTACCATATCTACTTAATTTAGTCAAAAGGATTTCGTGATTAACTGTATCAAATGCTTTTGAGAAGTCTAAAAATAATCCACATGTAATTTTTTTGTTATCTATGGATTTTTTTTAGGTTATCAGTTAATTCTAGTATTGCCTGTTCTGTAGAATGACCTTTTCTAAAGCCAAATTGGTATTTATAAAGTATATTATTTTTTTCTAAGTATGACTCCAGCTGATTATATACTAAACTTTCTAACACTTTGGCAAATGATGATAAGATCGAAATAGGTTTATAATTAAAAGGATCAGCGACATCTCCACTTTTATAAATGGGTATTATCATAGGCGTACGGGAAGGAAAAAATTAGGGGGGCAGAAAGAAATTTGCCCGACTTTTTTGGATTGTGCCCGACAAGTGCCGAAATTTTTTTTTCCGGAACAATTTATTTTGGCGACCTCCCCCCCCCTTTCGGTCAGTGTACCATTTTAGGGGTCCCAAAAATTTTCGACATACCCAAATTTTTCGGAACATCAAACAAATTTTCCCAAAAATCGAAAAATTTACATAATTTCCCGCAAAATTTACAGAATTTGTCCCATTTATTTTATAATAACCAAATACTGCCCGACTGTGAAGCGAATATTGCCCAACTGGCTTTGTTTGCCCAACAAACTGGGGTTATTTAGAGAGATTTTCTTGTTTTGACTACTTTTTGCCCGACTTTTGTTGAACATTTGCCCGACTTTTCGACTTTGTAATCTTGTTGGGGGCAGCTGCCCCCCCCCCCCCGTCCCGTACGCCTATTAGGCCTTTCCCGATTGCGCTGAGCACTTTTTGAGCACTTTTTTTAGTTTGGAGCACTATTTTGCATGTTGAGCAACCTTGAGCACTTCTTCGCACTTTGGGCAACATTTGAGCAATATTTCACATTTCGAGCGAATTTCGAGCAACAAAAAGTCAGCGATCGCCGATTATAGAATTCGATTCGTACCTCGCTTAACTAAACATAAAATTCGGTGTAAGGTTTAAAAATTGACGGGTATTATACTATTATTCTATATATAATTTAGGTAAAACTCCAAAAGAAAAGCCGTACAGCTGCATATGACATAACGGTTAAAAAATTAGAACGCTGACTTTTCGCGTTCTCTTTTTTTTTGTCGTAAACAACTCCATATACGGAAGTTTGTTCCATATATGGAGAAAGACGTGGAAACATTTTAAAAAATGCTGAATTTTTTTGCCAAAATTTTTTTGCCAGAATTTTATTTGGCGGTTTTCAAGGGTTGAAATGGAAGCAGAAAACAATAGCAATGAAGACGAAGAAGTGATTGATCCAATTACAATAGCAGTAAATGCTGGAGCTTCCCTAAGTGCTCCATAAAGTGCTTTGATAGCACGAAAGCGAAAAGTTCCGATCAACAAAGGGAAGAACAATCAAAGAGGAAGCGCCAAAACCACCAATGTGAGTACATGGGATCGTCTGAAAGAGTTCCCAAAGCAACACTTTGCCGTGGTAAACGGAAAGCTTAGATGCAATGCTTGCAGTGAAGTTCTCGCTGATAAGAAAAGTTCTATTGAAAGACACACGAAATCAAAGAAACATGAGAAGGGCCTGGCTGATATTGAAAGAAATAAATCAGAACAGCAGTCCATCAAAGAATGCCTGCAGAAGAGGGCTAAACGGGAAAATGCAAGTGGATCAACGTTGCCTTCAGATATACAACTGTATCGGTATGAGCTTGTCGAGTCTGCTCTGTCGGGAGGAGTGGCTCTATCGAAAGTGGATGCTATGCGTCCCTTTCTCGAGAAATATGGTCACAGGCTAACCAGTAGTGCCCACCTTAGTGAGCTTATACCTGCTGTACTAGAGAAAGAAAAGGAGACTCTAAAAGAGGAGTTAAAGGTTGCAACGGAGGCTTCGGTCATTTTTGACGGGACTGCCAGGTTGGGTGAGGCGTTGGCGATCGTAGTGCGCTACATACAGGAAGATTTTAAGCCGACTCAGAGACTTGTACGTCTAGAGGTGCTCGCAAAGTCACTTAAGGGAGAGGAGTTGGCTCAAAGGCTGATGTCATGTTTGGCTGTGGACTATAACTTTGGTCCAGGGGTAATCATTGGAGCGATGCGAGATGGTGCAGCAGTGAATGGAGCTGCTTTGAGACAACTGAAGTTCTTTTATGCAGACCTTTTTGACTTTTTGACATTGTATGCTTTTCTCACACTTTAGACAATGTTGGCTCTCATTTTGAATTCCAAGTCTTGGATTCGTTTACCCGCTTTTGGATAGGTTTCTTTTCCCACAGTTATAACGCCAGGCTTGTTTGGAGAGAGAAAACTGGGCAGTCAATTCGTACCTTCAGTGACACACGGTGGTGGAGCAAATGGGAGGTGCTTAAGTAAGTGTTGGACTTGTTTGCGGATGTCGAGCCTTTCCTTCACGAGAACGAGGAAATTTGTCCAGCAAATCGTCGGCATCTCCTGGAAATATTTGATAATCCACAAAGCTGTCAAAACCTACGCTTGGAGTTGGCTGCTCTTATCGATGCCGGAGTGCATTTTGTAAATGCAACCTATTACCTAGAAGGGGACGGACCTTTAATTTTTTCTTGCTACGAGCGTCTTTCAGCTGTTGCACAGGCTGTTGCAGTCGATCACTACCCTAATACCGGTGCGGTTGCTCGTGAAATTGCAAATGGCAACGTTGCCATCTACAATCAGCTAATGGCACAAGCAAAGGCTTGTATTCGGCCCGGACTGAACTTTTACCAGCGCAAATTCAGCGTACAGTTTTGTGACACAGTAAGAGCTTTTAAAGCAGCACGATTCTGTTGCCCTGTACAGGTGCAAGCCCTACGTCCGACATCAGCATCACTGGAAGAGCTAAGGAATTTC